TTGTTCACATGTACACATCTGTGCATATGTATACTCATACACTGTCACCACCCATTTTCATTCAGATTCACTCCAAAATCAAAAGTGAGTGATTCTAATGAGTCATTCTTAGAAATATCTTCCTTAAACTGGGAAAATCACTTGTCTTGCTAAAAATACTAAGGAGACCTTTCCAGACCAGATCTGGAGAAGCCTATAGTGAGATTATAGAATCAAACCCCAAAAGACAAATTCTACATGAAACTCTAGTCTTATTTTATGCTGTCTTATGGTAATTATTATAATTTATTATGTTGGTTATAACATGTATAATGCTATATATGTTATTTATCTCTGAAATATTCCAACATGTTTTTCCATGTTCTATGTGCCAAGTTATGCTCTCAGCCAGTGAGGTTTAGCCCAGCAGACTGTGTCACGTTCTATTAATCAAACACTATTAGCATGCCATACTGAAAATGCATCATGCATCCATTCATTCATTCATCAAGTATTTATTGAGTACTAGGCACTGTTCTAGGGACAGCAAAAAACAAACAAAATGCCTGAACTTGAGGATCTTATATTCTAGTGAGAAAGAGACATAAAATATGCATATAAACAAAGTATTCCATTATCTATTGTCAAATAGCAAACAGCCCCCAACTTACTGGCTTAAACAATAATTTTATTATTATCATGATTTTGGGAGGTGATAAGGCTAAGCTAGATGGCTCTCATTTGGAGTCTCTTTTGCAGTGACTGGTACTGAAGTCATCTCAAAAACTTCCTTTCATGTCTGGAAGTTGATGTTGACTGTTGGCTTGAGTCACAACTGGGGCTGTTTGCCAAAACATTTACAAGTGGCCTCTCCATGTGGCCTGTGCTTCCTCTTTTCACAATGGCTGAATTCCAAGTTCTAGTGCTCCAAGAGGACCAGACAGAGATTTACGCCTTTTTCTGACCTAGCTTCAGAAGTCACACAGCATCACTTCCACCACAGTTACACTTCAATTGGAGTGTGTGTCTGTTCGGGGGTGGAGATCCATGTCCCTCTCAGAGGGAGTAGTGGACACATCGTTTTGAGAAAAGTATATGAAATGGAAAATCCATCTATATCCTGAAAACTATAATCTGCTACGTGTTATATAAGTAAATATATGTGATGGGGCAATAGGTTCTACGGAGGAGAAAAGGGGAGGATGGGAGGGCTAGGAGTCTGGTGCAAGAAGGGGTTGAGGAAATTGCTGTTTTATGTGGAACAAGCCTCTTGACTATGGTGACATTTAGGTGAAACCCTGAAGGAAATGAAGCCAAGTTCAGATTTCACTCCTAGTGAAAGCTAAGCCTCTGGAGGATTTTGAGCCAAAGAGTGAAGTGACCTAATGTTTCTGAAGATGACTCTGGCTGTTTGTGGAGAATAACTGTGAGGTTCCAAGACCAACTGAGCCTTCATCAACTAATGTTGGCAGGCTGATGTAGGGAGACCGATTAGGAGGCTGTTGCATCAACTCAGGTGAGAGAGGACAGTGGCCTGGGGCAGGTAGGAGTGGTGAAGTCTCTTCCTCGGCTGAGTGAGTTCTGTGGTGTTGTGCTGTAGCCTATTTTCCTGTATTCAGTTTGTGCCTTGGGAAACACTTTTGACCAATAATAGCTTTCAAGATGTGTGAGATGGTGCTCTGCCTGCACAGATAACTAAAGGGAGCCTATCATGCTGAATGTGGAAATGAGAGCTCTACAGGGTCTGGAGGCACTTTTGAGGAAATGGATAAAGATCAACGGGCAATTAGAGAAGGGAGTAGGACACTGTGGTACAGCATCCTAACTGTGCCAGTGAGAGAACTGATGAGCAGCTGAACAGTGGAGGACAAGAAGAAATGGTGGGCAAAGGAGTTGTGAAACTTGAAGAAAAATCTGCCACCTTGTAGCACTGGTGCAGCATTTCAAGAAGGATGCTGGGTGTGGTGGTGCACACCTGTAATCCCAGGGACCTAGCAGGGTCAGACAGGAGGGTTGCAAGTTTGAGGCCAGCCTCAGTAACTCATGAGACCCTACATCAAAAATAAAAGTTTAAAGGGGCAGGGGATATAGGTCAGTGGTAGAAAGCCCTGGGTTCAATCCTTTAAAAAAAAAAAAAGTCAGAAACACTGTATAGTTCAGGATCCTACTTCTATTTTCTGGTACCAGGGATTAAAGCTAGGGCATTAACCATTAAGCCATCACACCTGGTTCATGATTCTACTCATAGACACCTATTCTCTGGGCTTGAGAGAATGCCCATATTCATTCAGGTAGCATTAAGACATTTTGCTGTCATCAGCTAACAGGTTTCTAGAATGAAGTTACTGATGGCTGTAGGGTCCAAGTTTGATCATAAATTGGAGGTCAATCTGACCAACTCAGGGAGAACTTAGCTCAAAAAAAAAAAAAAAAAAGGAGAGGGTAGGTTGGTATACCTTGGTGAGAGAATGACACTGGGTTCCACACCAGTGCCAAAAAAAAAAGAAAGTGTCTTTCAACAGATGAATGGACAAAGAAAATGTGGTATGTATATACAACGGAATATTACTCAACCTTAAAGAAGAATGAAATTATGGCATTTGCTGGTAAATGAATGGAGCTGGAGAATATCATACTAAAGAAATAAGCCAACCCAAAAAACCAAAGGTCAGTGTTTTCTCTGATATGCGGATGATAATTCACAATAATGTGGGGGCGGCCAGGGAAGAATAGAGTTATTTTGGATTAGGTATAGGGGAGGCAAAGGAGGGAAGAGGCACGGGGGTAGGAAGGATAGTGGAATGAATGAGACGTGATTACCCTCTGTACATAATGACTGCATGACCGGTGTGATTCTACATCATGTACAACCATGAGAAATTAGACTCCACTTATGTATGATGTGTCAACTGCATACTACCATCATGTATAACTAATAAAAAAGTCAATTCACAAGTATCTCTAGAATATATTGGAGAGGAGTCTGAAAGCCAGTGCAGTTTGATACATTAAAGAAATTAGACCCTAGCTGGGTGTGGTGGTGCATACCTGTGATCCCAGAGGCTCGAGAGAGGCTGACGCAGGAAGATCACAGGTTCAAGGCCAGCCTCAGCAATTTATCGAGACCCTAAGCAACTCAGCAAGATCCTGTCTCAAAATTAATTAACTAATTAATTAATTAGACCCTGATAACATACCCCTAAAATAGTGCTATCCCAGTCTTCAGTAACCAACTTGGAAAAATTGAATTCTTACCATCTGGATTTTTTTTTTTTTTTGAACCAGGGATTGAAACCAGGGGCACTTAACCACTGAACACTAAACTACATCCCCCCAGCACTTTTTGTTTTTCATTCTCAGACGGGATCTCACTAATTTGCTGAGTTTGGCTTTGAACTTGTGATCCTCTTGCCTCAGCCTCCCAAGCCTCTGGGATTCCAGGCACATGCCACGGTGCCCAGCACTCCATCTGGATTTCTTTTTTTTTTTTTAATATTTAGTTTTTAGTTTTTGGTGGACACAACTTATTTTTTATTTGTTGGTATGTGGCGCTGAAGATGGAACCCAGTGCCCCATGCATGCCAGGCGAGTGCGTTACCGCTTGAGCCACATCCCCAGCCCCTCCATCTGGATTTCTAGGAAAGTCGGAATTAGTGGAAGTCCCAAGTTGGGCTTTTCACAGGTAGCAGGAAGGTGTTTCTTTTCTACAGCTTATGGAAACATTTATTTGCTTCCTTGACTTATGGTTTCGGCCACAAGTTGAAAATTGGAACCACCTGTAGCTTGCAGAGTGTCAAGGCAGAGAGACAAATGATTTCAACATGTCTTCAAAAGCAGTCAGTTTTGAGTGCCCTCTCTGGTGACATTTTGCTAATATACAGACCCAATCACTCATTCCTCAGGTTCAGTGTGAGGGCAACCAGAAGGAGCTAGTGTGGGAAGGGTAGTTGGGAGTGGGGAGTATTAGAGGGTGAGGCCACTCAGGCCAAAGCAGCATTGAGGGAACACTGTCAGGTTCCTTTTAAAAAAGGCCACCTCCCCTCTGTAACTCACTCAGCATGGTCAAAACTGGGAACCAAAGAGAGCTCCTTTTGAAAAATTTAAGCCAAAAAACAGTGGAGAAATTGTCCCCATCAGAGCAGCTCCCAGATTGAAGAGACTGACAGCTGAGTGCACGGAATCTGGGAGTGAAGTCAATGTGTGTCCGTGGAAAGGAGGACACTGAAATGCCTGACGTGACAAGGAAATTGTCACGAGAGAAAAGGCAAGTGAAGGTCTGCATTGGACCTGTGTCAAAAGAAAGAGGAATTTAAAAGCTGCGGCTGAATTTTGTTTAGGAATATTTTTGCTATCTCCTTATACATCTGTCGAAGAGCTGGGGCACGGGAGGTGAGGAAAAACCGAAGTTTTCAGACTGGAAGGAAGTCTCCTCATTTGCTTTCAGCAAGAAGAAATCAGTCTCTGTCTTCAAAACATATTTTGTAAGAAGTGCATGAGCAGCAACTTCATCAGTCATCACGATTTCACTGTGAGTGACTACATGTCATAGAATACTGATTTACTCTAACTTTGAATTAAGTGAGTTTATTTAAGAGACTCATAAGGAAAGCTATGCTTGTTCATCTAGGTTGTTGCTATGGAATTGACTAGGTATGTTTATCCAGTAATTGAATTGATTCCATAAATCTTTTTTCTAGACACTTGATACCTGTTTTGTTCATTATAGTGGATTACAGAGTAAAGTTTAATTCAAATTTCCTTCTTTCTGTAGGACACATTCTTTTTAAATTTAATTTTTGCATTATACTCGTAAATAATTTCCAGAACACAACTGTGGACAGTAAATAATTCACCAATTCATTCTCTTTTTTTTTGGTGGGGATGGCGGGGGTACTGGTGATTGAACTCAGGGGCACTTGACCACTGAGCCACATCCCCAGACTTATTTTTTTGTATTTTATTTAGAGACAGGGTCTCACTGAGTTGCTTAGCACCTCACTTTTAGTGAGGCTGGCTTTGAACTCGAGATCTTCCTGCCTCAGCTTCCTGAGGAGCCACTGGGATTACAGGTGTGCACCACTACACCCAGCCCAATTCATTCTTTTGAAGGATTGAGGATTAACATCATTTTTTATAAAAGAGAATGAGGGGCTGGGGTTGTGGCTCAAGTGGTAGCACGCTGGCCTGGCATGTTCGAGGTACTGGGTTCAATCCTTAGCACCACATAAAAATAAATAAAGATATTGTGTCCACCTAAACAAAAAAAATAAATAATTTTTTAAAGAGAATGAGGCATCCTTCAGAATTAAGTTTTAAAGGTTTCTGGTGGAGATAAGTGGCCAGCTCCTTTTGCATCTTCTTATTGTTGAGTAGGTACAATATGGAGCAGAAGTGGCATGGAGACATTCATGGATCCGTTTTTAATGTCTTTTTCTGTTATGTGAAACACAAATATAAAATCTGAAAATAAAACAGCCAAGATTTATCAAATTTAAAGTCATTTTAAAGGAGAAAATGATTTAACCTTCATTCATCCAAGAAATAATTCTCATTTCTAGGTTTGTGTGTAGAAGCGCTATGAATCAGGTGTGAATAGGAATTTCTTCTTTCCTACCCAACCCTACTTCTTGGAAGCCTCTGATCTTTGTTTTACCTATACAGAGATTTTATTTCTAGCCTAGAAAAGTTACCCTTTAATCTTTTCTGCATTATGAACCCCTCAAAAAATCTCTAGGAAAGCTATGGATTATCTTCACCCAGAAAAACTCACATTTGTATGGACACAAAATTTTGCAAATACTTTCAGACTTTACGCCTTTTGTGGGCCTATCATGAATGCCAAGGAAAGGAACTCAGACCCTGGGCTCCTCAGACAAGATACTTCATCCCCTGTCTTCCCAGGGAGGTGTTATCTCTTAATGATCACGAACATCTGCGGCCAAAGAACTGGAGACTCTTCTCTTACAAATGGTTTATTACTACTACTATTATTTTACTTCCTCAGTTATCTTTGCCCAAGATGTTCTTCCTTCCTTCCCTCCCTCTTTCTCCCTTTCTTTCTTTCTTTCTACATACAATTTTAAAAAGTGTGTGTGTGTGTGTGTGTGTGTGTGTATTGGGTTTTGAACCCAGGCCTCACAGTTGCTAGGCAAGGACTCTTCCCCTGAGCTAAACCCTCAGCCCTTTGTCTAAGATGTTCTTTAACATCTGAAAACTCCAGGAACTTCTAGATGACCATTTGGTCTAGCTGTTATTGAGGGGGTTATTTCTGATTTTCCAACTCTGAAAATATAGTATAGTTGCTCTCCTGGAATGCCTAGTTTTACTTCATTAACTGACACATTGACTGTAGTTCACTGAATATTCATGTGCTCTCTGCATTTCCCAGAGTCCCTTGCAGCTGTATTAGGGCCTTAAGACTGAGCCCTTGCAAATGGGAATACAAGGGCAAGTGACGGATTCCTTCCGGCCTAGAGCATTTACAGTTGATGTGCCTCCCAGTCAGTGAAACCGTAGATCCACAATATGGAAGCAATCTAGATCCTTGAGTCATCACATGGAGGACAGGTGAACTAATAAGTTACCTGACATACACTGGACTTTACCAAAATAATACAAAAAAAAATTCCTTTATTGTGCTAGGCCACGCAGATTTCAAAATTAATTTACTAATGCAGCATACCCTAATTATACTAACACATTTGTATAAAGGTTGAAGGTTTTCTTCTTATATGGTACTGGGGATTGAACTCTGGGGCACTCTACCACCGAGTTACATCCCCAGCCCTTTTTATTTTGAGACAGGTCTTGCTAAGTTGTGGAAGATAGTTTTGAACGTGCAATCCTCCTATCTACCTCAGCTTCACAAGTAGCTAGAATTACCACCCAGCTAAGGTTGATTCTTAAAAGAAAGAAAGAAATGCCCAGTACACTTTTTGCAGGGGTAAGTAGAAATTGAACCCAGGGCTAGGCTAGCACTCTGCCATTGAGCTATATCCCCAACCCACCCAGGACTTTAAGACTGGGAGATAAACTGGTGAGGTGGTGCACGCATGTAATCCCAGTGACTCAGGAGCTGAGGCAGGAGGATCTCAAGTTCGAAGCCAGCCTCAGCAACTTAGCAAGACCCTTTCTCAAAATAAAAAAATAAGAATAAAAAGAACTGGGGCTGGGGATATAGCTCAGTTGGTAGAGTGCTTGCCTTACCTGTGCAAGGCCCTGGGTTCTATCCCCAACACCAAAAACAAACAAACAAAAAGAACAGGGGATGTGGCTCAGTGGTTGAGTGCCCCTGGCTTCCATCCCTAGTACCAAAATAAATAAATAGAACTGGGGACACAGCTCAGTGGTGAAGCTCCCTGTGTTCAATCCCCAGTTTAAAATAAAAAAGGGAGAGAAACTGGGCACGGTGATGCACACCTATAATTCTAGCTAATGAGAAGACCTAGGCAGGAGGATTTCAAATTTGATGCCAGCCTGAGCCACTTAACAAGACCCCGTCTCTAAATAAAAATAAAAAGGGCTGGAGACATAACTCAGTGGTAGAGCACTTGCCTAGCATGCTTGAGGCCCTGGGTTTAATCCCCATTACCACAAAACAAAAAAACAGAGACAACATTGTTAACTGGATAGTGCTTGACGTTATCTTAGGGTTGCTTTTTTTAAAGGTATAATATATAAAATGCCCAGGTCAGAACATGGCTTATATAGTTACTCCACAAATGATAGCTTTTATTATTAGTTCTTAAAATACATTATAAATAGTTAACTGGAGGGACGTAATAAAATTTGACTATAGTCATGAATGACGGTCTCCCTATTCTGACTCTTTCCCAGTTTTCTCACCTTAAGGTATCTTTTCTAAATGGTTCAAATTTGGGGCTCAAACATCTTTTTTTTAAAAAATATATATATTTGGTTTTTAGTTATAGGTGGACATGGTGTCTTTATTTTACTTTGTGGTTGAGGATTGAACCCAGTGCCTCACGCCTGCTAGGTGTGCGCTTTACCTCTGAGCCACAACTCCAGCCCCGGGGCTCGAATATATTTTATAAAACCGTTTGAAGTAATAACTTCCAATAAATAAGTAGTTTATTATCCTTAATCAAATATTTAGAAACAGTCTGCTTTTTCTTCCACATGTTAATTAACAGAAGAACATAATAGGTAACATAATTTGCCAAGTGCTAATGTGTGTGGTTCAGACAATTAAACAGTATAACTTATAAAATGATGCTAAATGTGTGAGATACACAGTACCTTCTGGAAGAAGAAAGAAAACTTCTAAGCAGGCTTGAGTCTCTAGTAAAGTCTTCTTAAAAGAAGTGGGCTCAGACCTTGTCTTTAAGAATGGCAGGTGAGCTGGATGCAAGGCACATATCTATCTGTAATTCCTAAGACCCTCAGGAGGCCAGCCTGTGCAGTTTAGTGAGACCCTGTATCAAAATAAACACAAAATGGCCTGGGGTTGTAACTCAGTGGTAGAGTGTTGTTGGGCTCAATCCCAGTTGAGTTCAATCCCCAGTAATGAGAATAGGCGGGGTGGGTAGAATGGGTATAACATGGATAAGAGAAAAAGAAGCCAGATGCAGTGGCGCACGTCTGTAATCCCAGTGGCTCTGGAGGCTGAGGCAGGAGGATTACGAGTTCAAAGCCAGCCTCAGCAAAAGTGAGGCACTAAGCAACTCAGTGAGACCCTGTCTCTAAAATAAAATACAAAATAGGGCTGGGGATGTGGCTCAGTGGTCCAGTGGCCCTGAGTTCAATTTCTGCCCATCCAAAAAAAAAAAAAAAAAAGAGGAAAGGAAGGAAAGGCTTTCCACATGACCAAGGAATGACAAAGTGCTGGTAAAACCCACAAAGTTTAAATAAAATATGACCTTGAATAAATTTAAATTGATGAGATTTTTTATAGATCAAAATCAGTCTAGCATTTTTGACCCAATAAAAAGTGGCATTTGTGAAGTGATACTCTGGAAGTTTCAACTGTGTTGGCAATTTTTTTTTTTATACTGAGTGGTAGATGTAAAGATTTCTTATATTTTATTTTATTCTTTTTTGGCACTGGCAACTGAACGCAGGGGTGCTTTATCACTGAGCTACATCTCCACCCCACTTAATTAATTTATTTATTTGTTTATTTGTTTGAGTTTGAGACTAGCTCTTGCTAACATACCCAGGCTGGTCTCAAACTGGTGATCCTCCTGCTTCAGCCTCCTGAGTTGCTGAGATTACAGGCGTGTGCCACCTTGCCTGGCTCCTTATATTGTTTTTAATTTTCCTGAGGTTCTTAACTACTTCATAGTCATCTTTTAAAATTTATTTTTTTAAAAGCAAAAAGAAAATGCTAACTCTCATTCAATAATTTAAATAATCGTTTTATTTTTTAATAATTATTTTTTAGTTGGACACAATATATTGGGCCTGGCCTGGGCTAGGTGAGCGCCCTACCGCTGAGCCACAACCCCAGCGCCAGATAATCTCTTTAGATAACACTCATCCTCTTTAGGAAAACAAAGCTTGGTTTTCTCAGCATTCTCAGACCTTCACCCTCAGCTTTTCTTTAAGATGTTGACGGAGTGTATTAGGGTATGAGGCTGGCTGTCCAACTTGTGACAAAGGAGAAGAACCCACAAATCCCCAATGCAGCATTCTTGGACTCCTCTGGCCTCTGGGGCAATGTCCCTTCTGTCCCTGGCCACTGACTGCCTTACTAGTGTGGACATAACTTGTGAATTGGCCTCCCTCAGGTTGCTCAGACCTCCTAGCTCCTCCTCTACCTACCCTCAGCTCTCTGGTTCTACAAGACTCCTTTGACCCTGACCGTGGGGTGGGATAAGGGGGTGCACTCCGAGTCCTCACTACAGTGCCGTCTTGACCCCCCCCTAAGGTTACTACCTTGAACCAGTTCCTCAACCACTGTAGCTCTCACAGCACCCCAGGAAAATGGAACCTCAGAGTCCGCTGTGCCTGACACAGCTTACTCACACTTTTGCACCACGCCACAGAAGGACCAGAACACCCTAGGCCCCTCCCAGGGGCTAAAACAAGAACAGGTCCCTGTTACCTCCAGTTATCTGCTGCACTTCTTCATCTACAGGCCGGAGCCTGAGAGGAGAAATCAGAGCACATACTTAAGTTTTTCCTTTCTCTCTTTCTCTCAACCCCTTCCCCTTCCCATGATCCCCAGAACCAGAAAACACAGGCTTCCTTCCTACCTTGTCCTTCCAACACGGAGCAGTGAGCATCGCAGCCTGGCATGTATGTGGGACTTCAGTACCCTTTGTGAGAACTCCCTTTTAAGTCCTCCACACGCAACTTCCTTAAGTTGAGGAAGCTTAGAACTTCTTTTTAAATCCTAAACAATAATAATAATAATAATAAATCTTCCAATCCACTAACCTTGTCTTGCTGTAAAATTCTGTTGTACTGGGAATTGAGCCCAGGAGTGCGTTACCACTGAGCTCTATCCCCAGACTTCTCCCTCTCCTTCTGACAGGGTTTCACTAAATTGCTGAGACTGACCTTGAGCTTGCAATCCTCCTGCCTCACCATCCCAGTGACACATTACAGGCATGTGCCACCAAGCCTGGCTGTAAAATCCTGTTTTGAATGTCAGAATTGAATATCTTAGTATTCCCCCCACCTACCCGGACTATTGTTTCTGTTATGAATCCTCATTTCTTCCAGGCAGATGGATGCAAAGGGCCATCTAAGGATAAAGTCATTTATTCAGAAAGGAAAATATGAAAGCACAGTTTTTCAAAATACTGCATTTCTGGGCTGGGGTTGTAGCTCAGTGGTAGAGTGAATGCCTAGCATGCATGAGGCACTGGGTTCAATTCTCAGTACCGCATACAAATAAATAAAATAAAACTCATCGGGGCTGGGGTTGTGGCTGAGTGGTAGTGTGCTTGCCCAGCATGCCTGACGCACCGGGTTCGATTCTCAGCACCACATACAAATAAAAAAAATAAAGATCCATCCACAACTAAAAAATATTTTTTAAAAAAACTCATCAACAATGAAAACAAATATTTTTAAAAAGTACTACATTTCAAATTGCTCTCAATTTCCCCCCATCTCCTGTTCCTTCCTTTCATATGTTAACAACTGCCCCATAACCCCCATATGTCAAACTCTAAGGTTTACTGTCAGCATGGATTCTCAAGACACTGAACTAGCTGAATAGCAGCTCTGATCCATAATGAAATGAGTATTGAACATGTAGAAGAAATGCAATCAGTTGAATTAAGTTCACCACATTTTCTTTTCCTTTTTCTCCAGGCACGTATTTGTACAGCACTGTGAATGTTTTACCCAGGGTGTTCTGAGAGTGGTTCCCCTTCCTAAATCCACCTTAGCAATGACCCCCTTCTGCCTGCTGGGCAAGGAGATCTGTGCAGTTTGCCTGGTGCATTGCAGGTGCCATTTAACAATGTGAGACTTCTGAGAGATGTTACAACTGCCTTTTAAGCGAGATACTTGGGAACAAATGCTCAGACCCAACAGTGAATCAATCAGTGACACAAAGAGCCCAGGTAGCAGATGAAGGGTCCTGCCAGTCTGTGTAATCAGAGGCAGGGGACTCAGACCACCCCCATTTGAACCCTGTCTGAACCACTAATTAGCACAAACACATTACTTCAACTTGTCTATGCCTGTTTCAACTATGGGAGTTATAGGGCAAGTTCATGGACCTAATGCACGTACGATGTTAGCACAGAAGAGTTGAATAAACATTAGCTTATCAATATAACTGTGAATATTATATTGTCATTATCATTTAACATTAGTGGGTCAGTGATCCACTATCCAAAGTGTTCCCTGCTCTCAGTACTCTCGCCCACACTTGCACATAGTCCTTCCCTTCTAAATGTTGAACTGATAAAAGCAGCAGGAGTGAAGTGATTGTGTGTAAGGTGGGAAAGGGATGTGTATAGATAGTTCAACCACCAGCTGTAGCCCGGTTAGTACACAAGAGTGTTCCCTAAATGAGGAAGGATAAAGTCAAATTCAAGCACTTCAAGTCTTTCATGTTACCTTTACAGGAGGATAACTTTTTTTTTTGGGGGGGAGGGGTTACTGGGGATTGAACTCAGGGGCACTGAAGCCACATCCCCAGCCCTATTTTGTATTTTACTTAGAGACAGGGTCTCACTGAGTTGCTTAGTGCCTCCCTGTTGCTGAGGCTGGCTTGCTGGCTTTGAACTTGGAATCTTCTTGCTTCAGCCTCCCGAGCTGCTGGGATTACTTACATGCGTGCGTCAACATGCCCAGCTGGAGGATAAATTATTTTTATATTTATTTTTTTAGTTGTAGTTGGACGCAATACCTTTATTTTATTTATTTTTATTTATTTATTTATTTTTTGTGGGTGCTGAGGATCGAACCCAGGGCCTCGCATATGCTAGGCGAGGGCTCTACCACGGAATCACAACCCCAGCCCCTGAAGGATAAAATTTTTAGAAATATTTAAAGGGGGGAATGCAGCCAGCATGGTGGTGCACACCTGTAATCCCAGAGACTCCGGAGGCTGAGGCAAGAGGATCAGAAGCTCAAGGTGAGCCTAGGTAACTTAGCAAGACCCTGTCTCAAAATAAAAAGGGTTGGGGATATACTTCAGTGATATAGCAATCCTGGGTTCAATCCCCAGTACTATACAATGAATAAATAAATAATATTTTTTAAAAGAGGGGGATGAGATGAAGAAATGTATACGTCTAAAAACAAATTGAAATGAAATAGATCCATGAGGACATTTGATTAGGCGATAGTCCAGCAGCTCAGGCTTCTCTGGGACTGTACTGGTGGCCAGGCTTTGGGCACATTTGGAATGTGTCCCCCCTCTCCTCCTAGGCAATAGGGTAGAAGAGGAGCTATAGAAAAGAGAGAAGTGTGGCAGAATTGTCTATTTTAATTTATAGCTTTCCTAACTGAAATAATAGCTTTAAAGAGAAAAATTATTCACAAATCATTAACAGCAAATGTTGAGATGGGAAGATGATAAGCAAGAAAGATAATTAAAGTCTGTACTATTCTTAAAATGAAATACTGTCTAAGCACAGAGGAATAAATTACATGACTTTTCAAACCTTTCCAATTTAGCATTCTTTAGAAATTCCACTGTCTAGCAGTGTTTTTCAAACATTTTGTGACAGCAACCCACAGTAAGAGGTCTGTTCCACATCTTTGTACTATATGCACAGCAACCCTCCATTTTCTTCCATGATTCACATTTGATGAAAGAATGTTCATCCTCACTATACAGCATCTTTCTGTTCTCTTTTATTCCAGCTTCTTCCTTCTTTTCTTCCCAATTCTCCTTGTCGGAAGGGTCTCGGCCACCCAGTTTGAAAACGCAGGTCTCCTGGGTTCTCCTCACCCTCAGGTGGGTCACCTACCCAGGGCAGAGCCGGAACTCCCCCAGGTGCCCAAAGAGCGGTCTGACCTGCCTCCAGGACTCGGGATGTCATTCCTGGGGACCTGGTGTCCCTACTGAGGGACCTAAGGGAGCCAGAGGGGAGAGGGGTAGGTAACGTGAGAATCCACTGGAAAATCCGGAGGTCTGGACACCCAGAGCCGTTCATCGAATGGCATCTGTTTATATCAATTTGCTTAAAAGTCTCCATCTTACACATTCAGCACCCTCGCGGACAGTGCACCGCA